TAGTACCTTTGTGAATTGTATTTTACAGCCAGTCAGCTTGGGGCTAAAAGATGTTACAGAGGTCCGTATAAGTCGGTAAGTAGTGACTTCAAATATTGTGATGATATACATAAATCCAATAGCTAAATATAGATTCGAGTGATAATACGGTTGAATACTCTTCTATATTAGTACAGATAATTACAATAATATTAAATTTATGCGGCAATCTATCGTTTTAGGTAGCCTACGTAAAATCGGCCGAGACTAGTAATGTATAAAAAGTGTGACACATAAAATTTTAGCAAATATTTTACATTTTGGTAGGATTTATGTTTTGAAAGTTACAAAAATTATTCAAAGTTCCATTATTGTTCTTGTTTTTAAACAATTGCATTACACAATTTTTAGGTAAAAAATAAAGCGATGTTTTCATCAGATGAACCCAGGCTCATTTAGTTTTGGAAACCACTAACCCTAACCCTAACCCTATAGCTTTCTGTACTTCTGAACATGGAATGGAATATTTGTTATTTATATCATTAGGGGCATTAGGTATCCTTTGGTCGCCTGAGATTTCAGTTGTGTCGTATATAATATTAGGTCCACTTTATATTGATGTTTTTTTCGAGTTCGAAATTTTCCTTTTGTGTGCTGTATTTTGTCGGTTTGCTCCTGCTGTTTTAGCTAGGCATGTTTAATTTTAGTTAATCGTATTTTGTGTGGTGTTGTCTTGTTGTATCTTGAATACTTTTGTGACGCTTAACACTTTACCGTTTTTGGATAAGATTTTTAGAGCGTTCTTGTCTTTATCTTATATCACGCCACGATTCTTTGTTTTATTATCGACTGTGTCGGTTTTTTATCTATTCTTCGGTTCATATAATTTAAACGTACTTTGGCGCAAAATAACTATATGGGCTGGCGTGTCCTAATCGATCTTATTCCTCTTAATTGTGTTGACAGTGTAGCTGTGTATGTTACTTTTCTTGCAAATTTCACAAGTTTATTTTTTATTGCTAATTGTAATCAAAATCAATGAAAAAGAGCATCACTTGATTTACTGTAATCAAATCCTTGTTTCTCAAAAGGCCAAACAAATACCAAATAATAGCAGGTAGATAATAGCAAGATAAAGTAGCGAGAATATAAGGCACACAACCAAAATGTTCAACTCAATTTAACTTATAAATAAGGACACGAACTTAGCTAAGGTAGAACTTGACGTTGTGATATTTTAATATATCTTATAATTTACCGGCACAATTTAAATATTGCATTGAAAGTTACCGTATGTTTGATACTGTCCCATTAGCCATATTCTGCCATATCTTCTATCGTGCTACTTTGCACTGACAGTGCGTTACAATAGTCTCAAATGAAAGCTAAACAATTTTTTTTCTAAGTTACCTACATATTTTCTTCTCAAATAAATCAAGACTGTTTGCATAGCCGGTACTGCTTTGGCAATAAATGTCAAGTTATTGATTCATCCATGGATCAAAAACTCTAATCAGTACAATTATATGGCTGTTGAAGTAGAGTTCATGTGTTTCTGTAAACTCGACACAAGTAGAATATCCTGGCCAATATGTAAGTTCTATAACGTGAGTAAAGTACCATCGTAGCTGTGTGGACAGTTACAATTTATAATCTCTAGCTCGTATCCAAACTTGAGAGTTTTAATCAGCCTTGGTCTTTACCGCTATACCACGCCGTACCATATGTTTAATAGCGTTACGTTTATCAGTTTTAAAGACATTAAACAATGCCATTCAAGAGATTATTCTACAATTCCTTTTTAATGACGGCATCGCTGTAACCTCTCATCTCGTCGTTTTAGTTTGCATCTTCCAGCTTCCAGATAATAACTAACATTAAAATAACAAAAGTTATTATCTGTTAGATAATTCAGACTATTTTATTATGTGTTCAAAAGACAAATGGAAAAAAATAAATAAAAGAAAACATATCATAAGTTGCATAAACGGGTGTGTTATTAAATATATAAACCAAACAATACATTAAACCACACAAAGGAAGACTTGATATAAAATTACTGTATATAATTATATAATAAAAATGTATGAAAACAATTGTGAAAATTAATCAAGCAAAATATGTATGTAAATGCTGTTCTTTAATGGTTTCCCTGTAAAAATATTTAACAACCCGAAATTTAAAATAAATTAATCAAGAAAGGTAACAATTAAAATTACCCACTAGATTAGTGAGAGTATAATAATGTAACTTGAAAACGATAATAAATGAATATTCCGAACCCAGTAATAAAAACAGTCTTCAAAATAAAACGTTTCCTAAATAAAAAAAAAAAAACATGCACAATAAGAAACAGGCCTACATTAGTTCTGACCACACGATATAAACATTTATTATACAATGCTTTACAAATCCAAAATTAACATTTGCTATCTCTACTTTATGTAATTTTTTGCATAGAATATGGATCTTTATATTTTGAGAAACTATGCCGAAAAATATTATTGAAACAATTGCACAAACATTACACACTATATTAAGGGTGATCTACACACAATCCGAGTGAATGGCTAATTACAGATAAAGTGGTAGATTACAACTACACTGCAAGTCTATTTAGGCTTATGCAAGAAATAAATGAAACCATCATAACCTTTTTTTTTTCTTTGATGGCTAGCACACACACAGTCAATCTACAAGGTATTTCAATTCTAGATAACTGCATGTATGATCTTATTATATTATCGTAATAAAACAAATTATGTTAGAGTTTTCTTAAATCATTTTCCTGAAAAAAAATGTTAGGATTTAGTGTTCCTTAATTTTATTACCATCATCAACGAAAAAAATCCTTCGTTAATTTTTTAAATTTTATTTGTTTTGATTTAGTTAGTCCTGTTTTTTTTTCTGAAGAGTGTATTGGTAATTTAATTTTTGTATATCCATTTTTTTACCACCGAATTGTTTTCGGGTTGTTTACATTTTACGAAGTTTCATCTCAACAACGTCTAGAGACCTCAACCAGCCTGTAACGCTACCCCAATGAATTCCTTTTAAACCAACTTCACTCGCCCATTCACCGTTCAAGTTAACATTGAGACAATTACTATACCACCAACCACCACTACAGCGTACAGCACAGTTTCCAGTTGACCACACATCGTTATCAGAGTCAATGGTTGTAAACTTCATGCCGTTGTGATAACTTAACCTGTCACCACCATTCCCACTACTAAATGACGTGTAGCTCATCTTATACTTTGCTGTTTCATTTTCTACCTTAAAACCTCTGTACACAGCGTAGTAGTCTTTACCTTTATCTTTCATGTCAAATCTGAGTTCATTATAACCCTGTGGTAGACAAAAGATTAGAAATATTTAGATATTGCATTGTGTTTGAAATATTGTATGTAGTGACCTGCTAATATTATATTATAATTATACATATTGATTAAACGTGACGAAAATTTAAAATTGATAAACGAAATTTTCTAAAACAAATTTACCACTTATGCCAATAATGATTGGTTGTGCAGTAGTTGATATTTATAATATGCTTGAAACAATTTTTTATAAAGTAAAAATATTGGATACACTTATTACTATAGAGCCTTCATGTATCCCATTATTACAACAAAAGACTTTTTTTAGTAAGGATTATATAACACTATCTATTTCCTGCTTACATTGCAGCTTATCAATCTATTCCCTTAAGAGAAATAGTATTTTTATTCAATTAACGAGCGAATGGATGAATAGTGGTGAATGTTGTTTGTAAGAATGGTATTTTGGTATTTGAATAAGTCTACCTGACCAAAAAGTTAGGGAAAATATAAAGTCGTGGGCGTGGAAAGTCTATAATAACTTGTGTTTTAAACATATATGGTCAAACTTTATAAGCTTAGGCGCGCATTAAAAGATATTTTCCTTAAATTTTGTTATGACGAAAATTAAAAGAGGTTTGAGATTTCTGATGTTCTTACTAAATTTGTTAGCTGATAAATGACGTCATTCCCTATCCAGAAGTCTCCAGAATTGGAGCCAAATCCGTTTTTATAATCGTTCCAAGTTCTTGTAAAGTTCACATCTCCTTTGATGCGTCTCTGTAAGAAATAACGAGAATGCTAACATAAAGTTTAAGCAAGTTGATTTGATTAATTCCAAAGTTTAATAAAGTATTATTTTACGCATGTGCTAATATAAATGAAATTATTGACGAAATTAAAACGCTTCTGAATAAAATAACGGCAGTGGTAAAACTGCGGTAAAATGAGTTCATTTGATTTATTTTAAGGCTTAATTACCTTTGAAATTTATTACGTTTTTAGTTATATCATACAAAAAACAATTTACATAAAATCAAAGCAGTCGTTACTTTATAAGACCTAATATTCTTTACATTAACTTTCTAAATATTTCCAATGCTTTATGTATGAGACAGTCACAACTATCACGAGATAAAACATTTGCTTGAACGTTTGGTTCTCTTCAAACTTGAAACCAAATAAATCCACATTTTTTTAATACAACACAAAAGATATTGAAAATAAAATTAATGTACACATAACATTATCATTGTTTATAACAAAATATGAATTTCTCTATTTTATTTAAAAATCCCTACTTTTATCAAGAACAAGAAAATAAACAAGACTACAAATCACCTTCTCACCATTAGACACCAAAACACTGACTTATGTTAAAAAACTGCTGTGTACTTGTCACCTGTCAACCAATTCAAATACTGGCCAACGGTCTGCCAGAACTATAACAAAACTAGAGCTGATGTCTTTTGACATCCATATAACCTTTTCAGAGTCATCATAATTTCAAATAGACAAATACTGCGTATGTCGTTCAACTATTAGATTTTGTTTTTCTTTAGACGCATCCAAATGTCAATGTTGTGTATAATACGTGTGTATTCAATTGAATAAATAAATCGTAATTGTTATAATAAAATATAGGAAAAAAAAACTAATTAGTTTAAAGTCTAAGAATAACTTAAATGACAAAACAACCTGAATAATAATCCATCCACCACCGTCAGTCTTGGTATCACACAATGTTCTGCTGACGTCTACTCCAGCCTCTGTCATGTCCGCTAAAACACTGTTGTTCATGTTGGCACATTTTAACTGGAGTAAAAAAAAAACGTGTTCAACATTTGTTCTAAATATCAGTTGAAAACACCGGGAAACATTTCGCTACTTTGCTTTAATATTCATGGTATGTTATTTTCTACTGCAACATTATCGACTAGCAAAACACTTAACCTATATCGAGGATTCATTTAATAGAATGCTCAAAATATCACCCTAAAGTAAAATACCTGTACTTTTAAAGTACTTAATCCCTCTGTAATAGAAATTGATGGAATTGTAAACTGTACATCCAAATTGGAAATTAGCAAAACTTAAAGAAGCTTAGCAAGGGGAGGGTGCAAACTGCAAAGTCGATAAGAGGGGAGAGTGACACGATTATGTGCCACACCGGGTGACAACAGACCTTTCTACGTCACAGTTTAATTATATAATTATGTATATATATATATATATATATATATATATATATATATATATATATATATATATATATATATATAAATAAATAAATATATATATATATATATATATATATATATATATATATATATATATATATATATTGCAGTAAAAGAAAGAGCGTACCTGTTCACGTAGTCCACTGATGAGGACATTACTTTGATCTGATTCATTCATCAGATTTTGCATTAAGCTTTCAATCTTCTCCATACTGGCGTTAAAATGCATGTCTGTATTGTTTAAATGAGATACAGCTGTCATTAAATCATGAAGTTTCCTTGCCTGTGCTTCTGAATACATTTTATTGTTTTCCTCCAGTTGCTGAATACGTATATTTTGACGTTGTTCCACCACCGCTGTGCTATTTTTTATCATTTCCTTAATCACGTTTAATAAATCTATCTTAAAATCATGCATTGTTTTAGATAGAACTTCACTGTGATTTGACTCCTGAGACAAATTCTGAATAACGAATGATACATTAACAACACTGTAGTTCAGCTTCTCCAGTTGTTTGTGTAAAATATTGTATAAAGTTGAAACATTTTGTACCGACTTAATTTGTTTTTCAAGTGTTTTATTGTTTGCTTCTGTCTGTTGAGTTGTTTTGAGAAAAATTTCAGTTACGTTGGATTTAAAGTGTGAAAGCTCTTGATTAGTTTTATCCACTCTGTTAACAATTTCATTGTATGCATTCGTTATGTTCATAATTTTCTTTTCAAGTTTCTGAATTTTTGACACATCATCAATTAATAGGCTGTTAAGTCGATTTTCCATTGCATTGGTAAGGTTAACTAAAGTGTCAACTCTCTGTTCTAAAGACAACTCTCTCCCACGTTGTATTAGATCTACAGTTTGGTTAGAACGTCTGTCATCTGATGAAAACTGTAAATTCATCTTCAAGTCAGCACTGTTTAACTTATCAGAATATTTAAAAGTTTTTAAAAAATCTGACATTTTATCAATTGTTTTATCAAACTCTGGAGTTTTAGCCTCTAAGGTCATCAACATCAGCGGCTTACGATTGTCTTGGCCAACAGGTTTGGTTTTATTTTCTTTCATCTCAATGAGACCCCTTTTATTTGTGTAATACACATCACATCCAAACACAGTACTAAAACAATCAGAAGGTTTTGTAAACGACACAGTTAACTCTCCAATCGCCTTTGAAAACTTTCCATCAACTTTTGATCCAGTTACTTTATAATCTCGAACTCTTGAATCTGATTCTAATACAGACGCCAACACAATCTTCCCCTCTAATTCACTGATCCTATAGACTGACATGTTGACAAGAGCTAAGATTTCATTATCTTCTCTTGTGTTCTCCACACAATGTAACTTGGCACAGAATAAAACTTTTCCCTCCATGTAATATTCTCTTTCTAGTGAAATGTCAAGTCCTGAAATGTAATAAATGTAATAAAATAAAGCACTAAAATCAGAAAAATTAAATGATTTAAGAATTTTTTAATTACATTTCACGTAGAAAAACTTCCGAATAGTTACATCTATTTTAATTCGTTTGTGGAACATTATTTCCAAAGTAGTCTATAAATTGTAAGAAAAATTACATTTACAGTCATGAAAATAGTATTTTAAATAATAAGTTGTATTATTGTAATCATGGTAAATTATGATTCAATAAGTTTTAGTTTATTCAAATTACTTGGACAAAGCATGCATTGAAAACACGCCCATCTCTTTATCCAAGTTCGTGTAATTTTCTCAATTTTTAAAATACAAAAATGAATATATAACTACGTATTAGCGTTCACTAGAAAAAAACTCAATTAAAACAAAAATATTATTCGTTATTATTTTAAATATCATATCTCAACGTAAAACAAACTTCAGCCGCCAAAAATCATACATGTATACGCTTTTCTGTTTAATAGAAATTGGATTAAAACTGAAATACTTTATAATTTGCTAGTGTAGAATTGACGTTGGCAGTGTTTACGGCGTGATCGGAAAAAACGGGTAAGAATGCAACTCCAATGTGCCGATTTCGGTCAATAGTAAAATGATGTAAAGCATCTATTATTATATATAATACATAACTATCATGGTGTCTCAACTTCTACCCCCTTATTGCTACCACACAGGTAACGGTACACACCTGAACCTTAGTCCTGGGGTATCGTAAGGCTGACCGGGCCTCAACCTCAGACTGCGGTAGGGTAGGGAAGCTAAAGTCCGGTCACTCTACCTTCTCCCTTCTTCGGAGTTACATGTTTTTGGTGCTGAGTCACTTGATATTAACAATTTATACGTATTTCGGTGCTACGGCACTTGTTCTCTACGGAGAAAGTTAATTTACTTTTTGGAACGTGTGTATAAGATTGTGTGGCTTAATTTTAAGGTAATTGAAAACTTACATTTATTAACTGTACTGTTATAAATTAATCAATAAGTATGGAATGTGTATAAAACAATGTTTGAATGAATTTTTTTTTACTAATGGTCATGGTAGGCCCCATGTCAGGCTAATGTAAAGTGTATTATCTTTGTAATAATAGTAAAATGGTATGTGTCTGAAGGCTGAACGAATGTGTATATCAAACAGATGTTAGGAAGTGTATCAAATGTATTTTACAGCCGGCCAGCTTGGGCTAAAGACAAGACACTACAGAGGTACGTGTGTGAGCAAGTGAGACCACTCCGCCCTGTAGACCAGTCGCCCATTTCAGGCTAAAAAATTGCTGGAATGGAACAAGCTCAGATGGGAGAAGCACCCAGCGTACCTCGGAATACAGCCGGACCAGAAGTTGACCCTGACCCAGCACATTAGGAATCTATGTAAGAAAAGCTTTAAGAGGTTGAGCATTCTCAAAAAACTGATCCATACCAGGTGGGGCGAAAACGCCAGGCTCTTGAGAGGTGCATGTATTGGCTATGTGAGAGGGGCACTAGAGTATGTGTTACCCATACTGTCCCATGCAAATAAGACCGCCCTGGAACGTGTGGATAGAGTCTAAAATGAAGGGCTGTGCATTATTACCGTGGCATATAGAACCACGCCCATCTTGGCCTGCAAAATCATCGCGAAAGTCGAACCCATGAAGATTAGAAAGGAAAAGGCAAATCGGAAAACGGCAGAACGATTCGCAAGGTTGGGCGAAAGCGAGCTAATGCACTCCGTCCTGGCTGAATGTCGGGTGCGCCTGAAACGGCAGAGCTTTGCAGGAGCAGCGAGCGGATTGCAGAATAGGCTTAAAATGCCGGCGAATCGAGTGAGGCTCCAAACGGTGCCAGAGAGACCGCCCATGGAATTGCCAGAGTGCCCGGATCTAAGCTTCCAGCTGCAAGACGGTCTGAAGAAAGGAGAAGACGTTAGTGATTTACTTAAAGCTGCGATATCCTGCCCTGGATCAGCCTCGATAGGTTTTACGCGGGTAGGGTTCGGAGCCTATATAGAGTACTGGAACAGGTCTGAATGGCCCGTGCAGCGGCACTAACTATGAAGCAGAAATTACCGCCATCATGGAAACGCTCCGAAAGATAGAGGAACTCTTGATGAGCGGGAGGCCGTATCTAACGGCGCGGTAATCTTTACAGACTCCATGTCTGCTTTGTAGGCAATGGAGAGCTACAGCATGGACGATAACGAGGCTGGCGTCCTCTCAATGCTCTATGGTGCCGATCGCATTGCGAAAATCCTGGGCAGAAAGATTTGCTTCCAATGGGTGCCTGGCAAAGTCGGGTTAGCAGGGAACGAAAAAGCCGACTCTCTTGTGAACAGAAGGGCGAAAAGAAAGGCCGCTACCATTCCGTTACATATAAATATTCGATTGTAAGGCTGAACAAAGCATACAAACGGGAAATGGAAAAGGAGTGGACAGATGGTTCAAAGCCCGGACTGTCTTCACAAACATGAAGAAGACCTCAAGGTCTGACCTATCCCGGACCCTGAAAAAGGCTTTGGGCGAACCGAGTCCCACCCAGAACCAACCCGAATCCCCCCCCCCGGTGATGACCAAGTAGGTACGCGGGAGGTAGGCAGGAACCAAAGCCATTATACGCTAGGCCATAGGCGGGCAAGCCGGGCGTACGCCCAAGTAGGGTCGAAACGCTGCAGCGGTCGAAGCGTCGCCGCCATCCCTTAGCGCGCCCCTTTCCTTCCACTCCAGCGATGCCTGAGAACCAAGGCCATGCCCTGTAGCAGCGATTGGAAGCAGTCGAACCAGTGGGAACGACTGGGGGGGGGGGGGGTTCGGCACGACCAAACCCATTCGTGAAAGCGAAAACACACCCCGAAACTGTTTATAAAACGACCGTACGCCACCCGTGATCGACGGATAAAAAAGCGACCAACAGGTTGCGTATTCGTGAGACCGCCTACAATCCACACAATTTCCCATTAGTTGGGGTTCGCTACGTTGAGGCCTTCCTCGCTAATGGGAGTCCAACTCCTGCGCCGGTATATCCGTGTCATTCGAGCTTACTTTCATGTGAATAAAATGCTTCTTGCTTAAATTAACATATTTCAAATTATTTGAAATCAGAATATTTAAACACTTTAGATTTTGTTTTGCATGATTGATTTCAGCGGAAAAAAAAAATAGGGTTTGGTTCCGTTAGTTGGAAACCTATTTCAAACTATTGAACAGAAATTAAGACTTGGCTGATTATTCTGTCCTTGCACCTGTCAAGATATTTCCTCTGTCCGTCGACAAAGACGTCAACAAGCGAATGTTTGTATACCGCGGTGTTTGGTCATAAGTTAACTGTGACATTTTAGATATATACAAATGTACTCACCACAGGTAAACATGATATTTACAACCAACAGAGCCGTCAATAAAACAGAAGACATTGTAGAGTTTTGTAGTTTTTTATCACACGAACTGGAGACTTCTCGAAACCGCTGATTCTGTTTAGTGTGAGGATATCGCCATCTATTTATACCACAAAGTTTCGTTGAAAGTAAAAACCGTTAAGACTAAGACATGTTGATAAAAACATGTGTGAATTGCTTTCACCGAATTCCCACGTTACAAAACCGTTGAATAAACCGACGTATTTTTTAAAATGATTATGCCAGGGTGTGGGAACTGAGCTTCACACCAGTATCACGTGACATGCAACGAGTTAAAACAACTCAAGCACCAAGATAAGCGCTCAGTTGTCTAGATTATATTACCGGAGTCTTGGCCTTGAGATTTACATAACAGACATACGAGTGTGAACATGTCAAGGCAACCTTTGACCCTGCAGTAATAATGTATGTCAATCTTTCATTCCTACGATTTAAAAAAGTAGTTCTCAAAATAAAAAAAAACAAATGTTTATACTCAAACCAAAACAAATCTTTAAAGGACGAGTAAGCTTAGCATTTGCATGAAAAATAAAAATGTATATTTTTTAAAATGATTTTTCATACCAAAATTAACCATGCGTTGCTTAATATTAACAAATATCTTCTGTACTAGAGGATAGTAGCAATAACCCAATAAATGTTAAAATTTAGTTCAAAGTAAATATGTATAGCAGTAAACCTTTACATGATTTTTTTATATTGATACTACAACAAGCTTGCAAACAAAGAAGATTTTTTTGGTCCTAGGTGCTTTGACCATAAGGAGTTTGACCACAGTGGAGCTTTGACCATAGGGGCTTTGACCATAGGGGGGTTTGAACACAGCGGGGCTTTGACCACAGATGGGTTTTGACCATAGGGGTTTTGACCATAGGGGTTTGACCACAACGGGGCTTTGACCACAGGGGGGGGGGGGGGGTTAACCATAATATATAGATTTTAGAATATAAATTATAAACTGTTATTTGATTTAAATATATGATACAATTAATACGATTTTATACATGTTTCCTGAGAGTACGTTAATAGAAATTAACATGTATTTTAAAAAAAGTCAAGAACGAAATAATTAGTCTCCACATAAAGGCTGGTGCTAAGCCTCATAGATTTAAAAAAAATATAAATGGAACACAAATAATGCGACATATATCAATTTTCACAAATAAATAATGTAGATGTACTTTAAAATACATAGCATATATAAAGGACAAAAAATGATAAAAAACTTGCCACAAATATAGTCAAAGAAGTAATACTTAAAATGGTTAACTAAATAACAGATGTGCTATAGCACGCAAACCTGTCAGTACATCTGTTTGACCATATGTCTGGACAGCACGTTGTAATTTTCGTGCAGCATCTTGTATCGCTTCTCAGCTGGGTAGCTTGTCATCTAAACCACTCTATGTCAAAACCATGGAGAAAATTGGAGAGTTTAGCACGTCAAAAAAGGTAAAATTACTTTGTTGTATCGTGGCCATGAATTGTAGTTTCACAGAGAACGCGTTTGGCGGTGTACGAATTTAAACATGATGATTTAACATATTATTACATCATGCCGCAATTTAAAATATAATTTAGCAACTTTTAAAACAAATCCTTACCATATGTGGACAGCATTGGACAAACCTCCTGTGATCATAGACCCTATATGGACCAAACACGTGTGATTAAAGCCGGACACAGCGCTTATGATCAAACCGCCTGTGAGCCATGACCCTTTGCTGAGAAAACACCTGCAGTCAAACCCCCTATGGTTAAAGCACTTGTCAAAGCCCTGCTGTGGTCAAAACCCATATGGTCAAACCCCCTATGGTCAAACCCCCTATGGTTAAAGCACCGCAATGGTCAAAGCCCTGCTGTGGTCAAAACCCATATGGTCAAAACCCCTATGGTCAAAGCCCCTATGGTCAAAGCTCCGCTGTGGTCAAAGCTCCGCTGTGGTCAAACCCCCTATGGTCAAAACCCCTATGATCAAAGCCCCTATGGTCAAAGCTCCGCTGTGGTCAAACCCCCTATGGTCAAAACCCCTATGGTCAAAGCACCTGTGGTCAAAGGTCCGCGCACCGTTGTTTTTTTTTTTGTTAAAGTTCGTCAATTTTATTACCATTTTATTAAACATACTACACATTAGTTACAAATTGACTAAAGGGCTATACTTGAATCTTGTATTTGAGAAAGTAAAATAAATTTTTTAATCTTCTCTATGTGGGGCATCAGAAATCTATGTCTTATTAATAATTCAGTTATTAACACATCTCACATGTTAGAAGGCTGAGCAACATATATTTTGTGTAGTATGCTATGCTTTCTTTTCTTTTTAATATAATTTAATTATGCTTGTGACCCATCTCATATGTTAGTCAAAAAGCTCGTCACTAAATATTTTATGCTGGTCAGATGAGTCACGTGTTAGGTGCTGGTCACATGACTAGCCCCTACGTTTAAATTCTAATCACATGACACACGTCCTCATTTTAGATCCAGATTTTGCTGCTGATCAGCTAAAATAACTAAGCTATTTCGTTAGCAACATGCTTATTAAATGTTAAATTTAGATCAAAATCTTATTCTTGATTGCATTGTTCCATAAATCAGCTACTTTATATCAGCAGTTTTACCGTAATTTTGAAGTTCTCATGCCAGAAATCCATTGCCCTAATTGTTGCGTGAAGAAATGCAAAGTCAGTTGTTGTTTTTTTTTCAGTTATAGGCCTACGTGTTTTTTTTTACCTACTCACGCGATAGAAAAATCTAGCATCTCAAGGGCAAGCTATGAGTGTAGAACGTAGATCCCCACATTCTTATCTAGATGCACGTGTTGTTTTGCTCGGTTCATGTAAGACAATACAAGTGGGAAACGTCATTTTCGCGGGCTTGTGCTGCTAAAATGTGTCTGCATGCAAAATATTGGTTTCTTTTTTTTAATTATGTCTTGTGCACAAGGGTTCTCATTTTGTTTTCGATGGTTTCTATTTTAGAAAATAACTTGTTGGTCGATTATCCTTTGTAAATTAGATGGGTAGCGATGTACACTATTTTAAAAATAGAATAACTGGTGCTGCTGTAGAAATACGTTTTAAAAATGTTTTCATATGTATACATGTATATATTTTGAAATATACAAAGCCATGTTATAGTTTTCGTAAGTTCTTAATATTTCGATTGAACATTTTCACCCTCCACTCTAGCCTCTCCGACTGTTGTAACTGGGCGTTTCAACA